TCGATGGCAGTATTGCCCTGGATCTACCACACCGGCGCTGCCTCGTTCACAACATCTTCCCCTCCAACATGAGAGTTGACGAAGGTCACTTGAATCAAACTTGAATCCTTGGTACGCAACATGAGCCCAATGCGAGCCCATAAATCAGAGTCAGCACTTGAAGGATTCAGGTACGTCTCGTCTCCCCATCCCTTGCACGCGTTATCACAGTCGGTGACGAATATCTTTCGACTTGCTGCTGCAAAAGCCATAAGCCACAATGCTTTCAGTAACCCTTTGGCCACCGCCTGCCGATGTCCCGACAAGCCTCCAGCGATTCAACAGTCGATGACGATCGGGTCGAATTGGCTGATGACTCCTATGCCGAAGGACACTCTTCTCAACCTCGGGTCTTCCGTGTCGGGGCCTCAGCTGGCGTTTCCGAACACACATGTGGGAGTAGATGCCGAGCCCATCTTGAGGCAGCCATCCACCACACCATTGCTCAAACCATCAAAAGTCCGTTCGTCAGCTAGAATATTGCTTGGGGTCACAGTCCTGTGCTTCAGGATCAGACCAAGATACCAGAAACAGGGTGTCTGATCCCCTTGGCTCTTCGCTTTGGGAACCGAGCAATCATTCTTAGAATAAGCATCCGGTCCGACATTGCAACAGCACTGCCAATGCTTGTGCCGAGATGTCTCGCGAGATTCGCCACACCTGTCGCACAGGTCGCTCGTAATGTGAATGCTCGCGCTCCTGGAAGCCGTACCTGTCGCGAACTGATCCCACCGTGTGGCTTTGGTCCAAGAGCCCCTGATAGCAATCGACAGCAGAGCGCCAGCCATCCTCTTCCCGTGAGGTCGTACACTGGCAATGCGGTTTGATCAATCGTCGATACTCAAAGCTGCCAATACCACCCTTGACTCATTCCCCGTCGTAGTGCCTCTCTGCTCCTGCCCGACACTGGCCTGGGGCGAGAGCGCCGTTATGAACGACGACGGGAGCGAAGCGCCGATCTCGAAGGCAGGCTAACGCAGCCGCGGGAGCACAATTTTGAACAATAAAATGCGCATCGGGGGGACATAGCAATTGTCAGCGTTGGTAATCAAGTGCGATGACAAGACATGCGGGAGAGAAGAGGCCCCGCTCGCACAGAATCCGTGGAGAGAGGAGGGTCGCATGCATTCAGTGCGGAGAACTCGAGGGGAGAAGGAGAGGATGGGGAAGGAGGGGGGAGGGAGGAGGAAGAGAAGAGGGGAGAGGGAGAAGGGAAGGAGGAAGGGGAGGATGAGAGAAGGAAGGAGGAGAGAGGAGAGCAGTTGACAGGAGAGGAGAGGAGAGGAGACAAGGTAGGCGACAGGAGGAGGAGGAGGAGAAGGATGGGGAGGAGGAAGAGAAGGTTGGAACGGTGCCAGGAGTGGAGAGGGGAAGAGGGGACGAACCAGGAGGAAGAAAAAGGAGGAAATGAGGGACAGGAGGTGGAGAGGAAGGATGAGGGAGGAGGAGAGAGGCGGAGCGAGTGATCCTCCACTCGCTTGTTCTGTCTCTCTGCCTGTTGAGCCTCGATGAGGGTACTCCGAAGACGAGGAAGGGGAGGAAGGGGAAGAGGAGTCAGCGATTACTGTCAAACCTTTTAGACCAGGGCCGCTTTGGTATGGGAATAGGGTCGACCCAAAATATGTTATGTTATGTAAGTGTGTGAGTGCTCCTATGGCGGTTATCGTGCCCTTGGGTGCAACTGAGGCCCAAATAGGTGGTGGGTTCCTTACCGAATGGTTTTTGTCGCGAGCCAGTGATTTAGGGAGCTTGATGGGGACACAGGGAGAGTCTCCCTTACGACACGCAAATGCCTGGCGAGGGACGAGAGCAGTTGTGCCAACGCCGAGCTCGCATTGGCATTGAAGGAGGGCTTGTGAATCGAACTAGCTTATCTGTGACCTACACCAAGCGCCGGGAACATCATGCTGCCTTCTCGGCAGGTGCATATCGGGAGCTCGTTGGCTTATGAGGTTGCTAATCAGGTTGCCTCCTCCGTCTCCACCACCCATTTTCCCGCCCCGTCTGTCCCTCTTCCTTCCTCACCCTCTCCTTCACATTTTCCTCCGCCTAGTCCTCTCTTCTCCTCCCACCCCTTCCGTCTTCCGCTTCATGTCCCAGGCACTACACGACGCTCATGTTGGATCGAGGGTGTGGCCACTACTTGCGATTGCAGCGGTCGCAAACATTGCATAGAAGGTGCCCGGAGTTCCACAGGGACTTCCTCGGGCGCCTCCGCGGGTTCTTGGACAGTCTTGGTCGAATTGCGGCATGGATGGGATCTCAACACGGTCGGACCGAGGTATGAGATCGAGGTCGGGTCGGGGAGGGTACCAAATTGTTTTTCGTGCTTGTTGGATGTTTTTGTGCCTCCTGGGGAGGGTACTCTTGGCTGCTCTTTGTTTCTGTGCTTGGACGGAGGATCTCGTGTTCTGCAAGGATGTTCTTCTGTCCCAGGTCCGACTGGAACGGCGTTGATGGAATATTGAGTTGTGTTGCTTCTGGCATGGACTGGGGATTGTGTTCTCACTCCCGCAGGGTGAGAGGAACGCGCTCGCGTGTTCCGGCTCATGGAGGGCCCAGGCTCCCCCCAGGCCCAGCGCAGCATAGAGACGAGCCGCGGCGGCAGTCGCCTTCATCGGCCTCCTTCCATCCCTCTCCCCTCCCCTCCTCCCCCCTCTCCTCCCCTCCCCTCCCCTCATTTCCTCCCTCCTCCTCCCCTCCCCTCCCCTCCCCTCCCCTCCTACTCTCCTCCCCTCCTCCCCTCCGCTTCCCCCACCCCCCATCCCCTCTCCCTCCTCAATTCTATTCATCCTCGGCATCCTGCCTCATCGCCTATGTATTCCCCACATCCTTCCTGCCTTAGAACGAGCGCGAATGAGGCTTACGTTGTCTGCGACTCCCTCGCCGCCTAGCGCTGAATGCCACTGAGCCATCACCCTCTCCCCTTGTGAGTCCTCATCCCTCACCATCATCGGTATGATTATTAGAATCATCATCAGCAGCAGCAGCAACATCATCTTCATAATCATCATCATCAGCAGCAGCATCATCATAATCATTATTAGCAGCATCAGCATCAGCATCATCATCAGCGTCAGCATCAGCATCAACATCATCATCACCATCATCACCACCACCATCATCATCATCATCATCATCATCATCATCCTCATCATCGTCTTCATCATCATCACCACCATCATCACCACCATGATCATCATCATCATCAACATCATCATCGTCCCCTCCCCTCCATCCCCCCATTCCCCTCTCCCCTCCTCCCCCACACCCTCGCAATCCTACACTGGCCCCCCGCAGGCAGATCGTGGACTGGGGGTCCTCCACCAAGGAGGCCAAGGAGAACGTCGCGCCGAGGGGCAACACCCTGCCGATGGTGGCGTGGCCTCCGTCTTTGCTGCCCCCTCCTTCCTCTGCCCCCTCCTCCTCCTCCTCCTCCTCCTCGTCATCATCATCATCATCATCTTGCTCATCCGTTTCTTCCTCCTGCTCCAGCCCTCCTCCTCGTCCTCCTCCTCCTCCTCCTCATCATCATCTTGATCCTCATCATCATCATCTTGCTCCTCCTCTTCTTCCTCCTGCTACAACCCGTCTGCTTATAGGTAGCTATCCCCTCTCCTTATAGATAACTCCTCCCTGTCACACCCCGAGGCTGGTCGAAAGGGCGGGCTTGGCGTTTCGCTTGAGATTTCTTCATCATGTATGATCTTGACGCTTGAAAGTGGCAACAGTTTCACGAATAGAGGGCGGGCCGTTTTCAACATGTGGTCGTCGCTTTAGCGCCGTGCACGTTCGTTTTAAAAGCGTGCAAGAGTTTCACTGATATAAGGCGGTCCGTTTTCGAAATGCGGTTCTCGCTTCAGTGCCGCGAACATGTTTTCCAAAAAAAATGCAAGAGCTTCACGGATGGAGAGCGGACCGTTTCCGAAATGTAGTTCTCGTTGTGGCGCCGCGCACATTCGTTTTTAAAGCTTGCAAGAGCTTCACGAGTGGATGGTGGCTCCTTTTGAAAATGTGGTTCTCGCTGTAACTCCGCGCACATTCGTTTTAACAGTTCGCTAGGGCATCACGGCTGGCGGCGGGCTCCTTTTCAAAATTTGGTTCTCGCTTTAGCGCCGCGCACATTCGTTTTAAGAGTTTGCGACAGTTTCAAAATGTTTCATGGTCACGTCCCAGAAATGATGTTCTGGCACGATGTCAGAACGACTAGGCGCAACAGTCACGTAAATCCGCCGTGTTGACGTCCCAGAAACGGTGTTCTAGCACGACTCAGGATCGGCAAGGCGCACCAGTAACGGTGATTCGTGGCATGGATGTCCCAGGAATGGCGTTTTGGCGCAATTCCGGATTTTCACACGGTTGTCTTTCAACGGGGCGTTTCTTTCAGTGTTTTTGTAGAGGTTTATGAAGCAGGAATTTGGAGGGATGGTGTCTTGCACTATCGTTGATTAGTTTTTGGTTCGTGTTGGTCTTCCTCCTCTTCCTCATCATCATCACTGTGTTCCTCCTCTTCTTTTTCTCTCCATCCATTATCCATATAAATATATATACATGTGTATACATACATATATATAGATAGTTAAGAGCGCGTTCTGTGGTCGCTTGGAGTGGGGGGGGGGGGAAACAGACCCCCCCCTCTCCCGTGACGGAGGTTGGGGGGTTCAAACCTCCCCCCCCCTCCTCCCTTACTTCTCCTTTCTCCCTCTCCTCGGGTCGGCGCCTGGCGGCGGGGACGACGATTTCTTTTGCTGGGCCCACGCTGGCGCCTGCAGCGGCGGGCGGCGGCGGCGGGGAGCGTCGACGAGGACGACAGTGGTGGTGGTGGTGGTGGTGGGTTGTGGTTGTGGTGGTGGTGGTGGCGGTGGTGGTGGTTGTGGTGGTGATGGTGTGGCGGTTTGTTGTGGTGGTTTGTTGTGGTGGTTTGTTGTGGTGGCGGTGGTGTTGGTGGTGGTGGTGGTGGT